GCAGGGGGCAGGATCGTGGATGCGTACTGCTGAGGTGCCCCAAATTAGGACGGAACGGCCGTCCAGTGCTTTCAGGTTTTCCATGGTGGTCTAGCTTCAATTGACTCATGAGTTCAACTATTGAAATTACTAAAATCTCCAAAAAACCCCTTCTGACAAAGTAATATAAGTTTGTAAAGCATAATACTGTAGTGAACGAAAACACAAGTGTGGGAAAAACGGATGTATTTCAAGACTAAACTACAGAACATCTTAATGAAATCTGGGACTCATACAGTAAATAATTAATTTGTAAAATATTAATCACTTGTTTCGAACTTGACTATTCCTTTTGCGAATATCAGTCCATCGTCTAACATTTCATTGTTCCTGCGTTTTCATACAAATTTCTTCCCATTCTCGTTCTTTCCTTCTCAATCTTCTGCAGCCAGACATTTTAATTCTGACAATCGTTATATACTACTCATGTCGATATAAGTAACTCACACCACGCTATCTTCAAAATGAATAAAATTTCTATACAAAAAGTCTTTGTGTAAATATAATAAATGAAATTATATTTTAGAAAAATAATTTATTTACATACTTTCAAAAAGAAATTAGTAACATAATCTATATGTACATAAAGAAAACAATCACTATACAATATATATATATATATATATATATATATATATATATATAGACAGATGTATATACTGGTAAGCTTTGTTCCATTCTTTCTCGAACTGTTGAGTATACCATGACAACAATTCATAGAGATCATTCATTTGTTGTTTCTTCAATACCATCAAATGAGTCAATGAAATCCATTCTTTGAAATTCATAAATTACTCACAATTATCATATTCATTAGTCATAATTCAAGCACTTTATATAATGTGCTTACCAAGTTGTTGTTTCTATAATTGACAACTGATTCTTTCTTGTTTCATTCAAGAGTTACAATGGAAAAGTTAAACTTTGTTTCATTAAAAAAAAATAATAATAAAAGACACATTTGGATCATCTTGTAAATCGTTTGATTAAGAAATAACTACAAAATATCCCAATTGTAATAAATAAATATTTATTTGATTTATGTAAAATGTGTTTTTGTTTCCAACTATGTTTTTCTTTTGTATCATGATATTGCTTGTTTTCTTCATTCATTGATTTGAGCTTTAAGAAGAAAAAAACGACAAATAAACAAATGAATAGATAAATGACTACAAAATTCATTGTATTTTACTTGTAAAATAAATTATTTTTAGAAAGTTATTTAACTTACTCACTTATGCCTGTTACCCCTTGTGTAATAACATAGGCCACCCACCAACACTCTCCATCCAACTCCGTCCTGGAAAATCCATTCTAGTTGCTATTCATTATTTTCAAGTCTGCTTTCAATTATTGGAACAGTGTATTCTTTGGCCTTCCTCTTTTCCGTTTCCTTTCAGGATTCCAGGTAGACGCTTGCCTCGTAATGCAGTTTCGCAATTTCCTCAATGTTTTTTCTATCTATTTCCAGTGTCTTTTCCTGATTTCTTTTTCAGATGAAACCTGGTTTGTATCACGTATCACGTTAACGAACACTCCGTATTTGATGTAGACAATTGTTTAAAAATACTTATGCTACTTTGATGATGGTTGTGATAGTTCCCCAAGTTTCAGTTCTGTACAATGGGACTGTCATGACGTTCAGATTGAAGATTGTGATTTTGATATTGGTTGACAGTTGTTTTTAGTTCTATATGTTCTTCAACTGTAGGAATGCTGTCCTTGTTTTGCGAATCCTCGCAAATTAAATTCATATATCACCACTATCTCGTGTGATTTGCATTTCTTTTGATATTCAATAGTTGAAGGTGATCGGTTGGTAAGAAACTTGAGGTCTACGCTTCAAATTAGTTGACACTTGTTCGTGGAACTCGAACCCTTTTAACTACTTTAAACCATCTAAGATCAGGATATAATGCACAAATTGTCTAGTCACTTAGACTATATTACAACAAGGCTCAATTAATAATTATGAACCGATTGGTGTTAAACCACCGTTGAAAGTCTGGAAACACTGGTCGGCCGTTTCGTCCTATTGTAGGACTCCTCAGTAATAGTAGTTATGAACCGGACAGGTATAAAATTGGTTACTACTCAGTTATAAATTAATTTCAGTTTATTTTATGTATCATTTAATCATCATTCAATATTAAATTAATGAAATAAAGAACGTGAATACTGAAAATTAAGTTGAATCATGTTAAAATAAATCACATCTATGATGTAATTGACTCATCACCATATTGTCCTTATTCACACTGTCAAATGAACTGAAAAAGTTGTGTCAGAAATCTTTTCATTTCTAATTGTTTATTTGTTTGTACATTGCATAATCACTTGTGATAATAATAATAATGATAATAATATACCTTATTATTACATTTATGTTTCATTGAGAAAAGTTAATTCCTTTTTAATAATGATTACCATATTGTATATTTATACAAGTTCACAGGTTAACTTGTGATTTATACATCAGCACTAAAAGACGTACAATAAACTTGATATTTATTTCTGTTTTTAAGTCTATAAATAAATTACTCTGTTTTATAAATAGGGTCTTGTAATGATACTTATGCTAATATGCACATACATATATGCACAAATAGGGCGTAGACCTATACTTCTTATCAATATTATGCGTTATTATTATTATTATTATTATTATTATTATTACTGTCTTATAGCCACAAAATTCCAACCCGCATAACATTTTAAACAAAAACAAATTTGATTCCAATTTAGTGAAGTTTATGCTGAGGTCATTATCCTCTTCATTACCTTGTATGTCTAATTTCTCTTGTGTTTTTTCTGTGTATAAATATGTGTGTGATAATTTGTCAGTCTGTTTGTAGACTTTTCGATTTATTCACATTTTAAAAAGTTTCTATATAATTCTAACAAGTTTTCTATAGAAAAATAAAGTAGGGAGATGGTGACAATGATGTTGATGACCTTAAAGGATAGATAATAAGTGGCTGACGAATTTCTTCAACATATTCATTCATATATATATATATAATCATCATCATCACAAAACACCTCTCACCGTCCCACCTCACTTCATCTCGTCTCATTATCATCATTATTTAGTATATCTCAAGTGATTAAAGATATATATAGTTGTATGTATGTCACATTCTATCAAATAATTTTTCATACACACAAACAACACACATACTCTCTTTATGTATAATATAGGCTTCCCTGTGGTGTTATCATTGCTGCTACTATGACATGGATAATAATAATGATGACTCATCTCCTTTTTTCATCCCTTTTCTATTTTTTATAAACCATGTAGGTTTATTTAAAAAATTGACAAAAACCACCTTTATATACTACTAAAAACTATCCATCTTTTCTTATTCTAGTTTAGTGTTAAGTTTAATGATGGTATAAATAGAGCAAAAATTAAAAAAAAAATAATTTTGGTCAACAAATTAATAAATAAATAAATAATTAAAAATCCAAAATAGAAATGTGATTAATTTTCTATGAAAATTAACACAGTTCAATTGCACAAATCTAATTATATCTTTATTTAATTGTAAGGATAGCAGTGATGATATGAGATCGTAACTGATTGAAGACAATGGTAGATGTGTTGCTCAATCACGTGGATTAATTCTATGCCGACTTAGTGGTTTAGAGATTACGTGTTCGTACACGAGATCGATAGATCCTAGTGACTGACTTCAGAGAAAAACTCCTAAAGTTCTAGTGAGAAGCCGTTACCAGTGGAGTTCAACTAGGTCTGTTGTGAGATAACAACTCACTGAAGACAATGGTGTACGGTGGCGCAACTTCGTGAATTGGTTGAAGTTAGACATTAACACCGTTGGATGCCGGCTCAGTGGTCTAGTGGTTAAGTGCTCGCGCGCGAAGCCAGTAGGTCCTGGGTTCGAGCCCCGCGTGGTGCGGGATCGTGAATGCGCACTGCTGAGGAGTCCCATACCAGGACGAAACGGCCATTCAGTGCTTCCAGGTTTTCAATGGTGGTCTAGCTTCTAGGTTTCCCATGACGGTTTAGCTTCAATTGATTCATGATCTCAACTATTAAAATTACAATGAGTTTTATGACATTATTGAATTCTGAAGATAAATTAAAGTGATTTATAGCGTTGCGTAATTCTGATTATTTTCAAAGGCAATTATTTCGCCTTTGTATGAGATTCATCAGCAACGAGTATACATGACCCTGACAAGAATCGAACTGAAATCCTTCAAATCTCTTAACAAATGGTTAAACTACTGACTTTAAATTCAATAGTTCAAAGTTCAAAAACTTAATAAATTCACCCTAAATCGTGAACATTATTGATGATAAAATGCTTTACTCTCTATATGATTAAAGTTATTACAACTAACAATAATTTTCATTTTACTATTGACTTGTAGATAATTATGTTAAGTCAATGAAAATTTTATGGTTATCATTGAACATTTACAGAGCTTTACAATGATAACACACCACATATTTGTGTTCATAACTGTTAAATCGATATACTTCACAGTGATTCTCATCAATACTTAAAATTAACAAGAGAATTTGTAAGCAATGATGGATAGTGGCTAGTAGTGAAATCCAGGATGCGCGTTTCTTCCTATTTGGGACTTGTTACTGCTAGCCACTATTCATCATTGCTTACAAAAAGCTTGTGAATTAAGGCAATATCGAGGCATACACATAGTATGCACATATACCAATAACAGACTGATCAATTGCAGTTTTAAACCTCAATGGGAAGATACAAGCCAAACAATACCAAGTGAATTCTTGAAAAATAGGAATGATTAGTTGCTTGTGTTAATCCATAGTTTACAACTTCCCAATAATTTCTCACTGACGAATATAATTAAGAACACAATACTTCGGATCTATTGAATACACATATTCTGTATTTCAAATAGTTTCTAAGATGATGTAATCATATGTCGCTTTATTGATTTAATTGACCCTATAGATAATGGAGTTTCATTAAAAGTTCGCGAAATAATCCCCAAAATCTATTGTATTTATTTAGATCGATTAAGCATAAATAAACTTTCTATTTGAAAATTTAAAAAAAAATTAAATTACCTTATTGTGGATGATTGAACATTGAAATGATCCATAATTCGATTGAGAAATTCTTTCACATTTTCGTTTTAACTGATTATCATTGAATTCATTGTCAATTTCATCTGCAATTTTGATGAATTGTTGTATGATTTTATATTCTATTGTTTTGTGTACATTCATAATTATTTGGTTACTAAGAAAAAAATATAAGTAGTAAATAAAGTAAAGTTGAAATATTCTTAAACTATTAGATGAGACTATAATTTATGGACGACCTTTGAGCGACTCTCGGCTGACCTTGAAAGTGTCCACCTGATAATTAGCACCAAATGAGGGTTATAAATTAGTATAAGGAATTGGAATCATGATCTACAGTTGACGGTTAAGGTTAAGAATTAGATTTAGGGTTTTCACCACGAACTGAGATCAGCTATAATGTCAAGACTCTATTTAGCCAAATGGGTAAGTGAATTTCACGCCAAATCGAGACCTGTTATCTTATACGAGATTTTTTCATCTATAAATTATAGTGTCGCCAATTATTATCCTTGAAAATGTATATTTTTCGTAATAATAATATAAAAATTTTATAACTCAGTACGAGTGAGACTTTTGGAAAATTATTCCATGCGTGAACGTCATTGGGTTCAAGTCCAGAAATGAACATCAACTCGGGTACAGTTACATCCAGCTTGAGAGTCTCAAACAAGATGAAATGCGTGTTCTGGATTCCAATGTTAACCATTATCCATTCATTTGTGCCTAAAATATTTGTGACTTAGTGGTAATACCAAGGCAGTCGGAATGGAATGCACATATCCCTAAAGAGACTAGTCAACTGTAGTCCTAAGCATCAATGGGAAGATCCAAACAACCAATATATATGAATTAAAACTATTTCAGTTCGCGTTAATGAACGACTTCAATATTTTTCTAGTAATGAAGAATTTTCCACTGATTATCAATAAATATTTCTGACATTTTACTTTAATAACTTGATTAGTGGAGAATCACCTACAGCTTATTAAATGAGATTAGGGGAAAATTAGAGTTACCAAAATTGAGTTGAACAATTTAATATGATCAAGTATGGTAGGATAAAGAAGTGACTTTCATAGCTTTCTAAGTTTAATACCTATGTTTTTAAGATTTAGACTGATGAGGTACTGGCTTGATGCTAACGTACGACGTTACTAAGAATTTTAATGATATGTAGTGTTAAGAATTCATGATCTTACATAGCTTGTCATTGTCAATTAATAACACCGACTTCGTAATAGCTACTTATAAGTAGTAAAACATTTATTGAATAAAACAAAGAAATATTTTAAATTGATGGTTCGATTACAATTTATATTTATAGTCGATTGCCTTATCTTTAAAACAACGAATAGTTGATTTTAGTTCCCAGTGCAAGCACATCGTTAACAAACCTAAGTGTTATTATTCCACTTGTTCATATGTAAGACTATTATAAAGTATCGATTCTACCATTATACATTTTTGTGGATATTCACCATAATGTGGTGTTTTACATATACGTATCTACATAAATCTATTGGGTAAATCTCACAGACACATAAAAGTCATATACTTATTAGTAATTAGTTTTGAGAGGAATCCCTTGAATTTTTTTTTCAGTGAAAAGCACCATAATATATTTCACTAATCAAACAACAATTGGGTTCGAATCTCGCCTGGGGCAGGATTGTGGATGCGCACTGCTGATGTGTCCCATACTAGGACGAAACGGCCGTCCAATGCTTCCAGGTTTTCCATGGTGGTCTAGCTTCAATTGACTCATGATTTCAACCAGTGAAAATAACAATTGAAACAAAAACCCACATATAAGAAATAGAACTATAACATGAGCATATCCTTATAGTTGAAATTATATCTAATATAGAATTCCAATTCACTGTTCTCATCAATGACCTTAATCTAATCTATTGTCAGGTTATAACTCTTTATCACTAATTAGTTTTAAATTAAGATAGAACAATTAAACTGATAATATTACTGAATCGAATAAAATTAATATAACTGATTGTTGATAAAAGACTTACTGAATTATTTTAATGATTTAAATCCAATAATCCAAAGATTGATTATATTTTCCACGTTAGTTACAAGTATTTCCAATGTCAGAATTTTCGAGAAGCACGTGACCGAATGATTAATTCATTCATATTCATCTATTTATTTATTTATTTATTATTATGATTAGTCATGTTTTTATGGAAATTATTTTGTTTTTTGTTTTTCTTTTTTAGAAGAAAATAAACAAATGCCAAGTTTTCTTTTTTTTGATTGGTTCATTCATTTTTATGAGGTTGACCTATACAAATTGATATAGGGGGTGAAAAAAATAGCTTCAGATAGGTTAAGCTTGTAAATTAAGATCATATCGAGGCATACATACAGTATGCACATTAGCTAACAACAGACTGATCAATTACAGACTTAAACCACAATGGAAAGATACAAACAAAACAATACCATCCAGCTCAGAGAACAAAACTCCACCAAAACCAAGTGAATAAGTTAAGATAGTTGGAAATGTTCTCTTTACATAAGTGAATAAGACAACATAAACAATAAAAAGAAAATTGTGAAAATTAACCAATCAAATTGTTACATGATTGTGTTAGTCTTTTTTTGTTGTTGTAAGTTTCTAATGTATAATGAAAGCAAATAATTTAAAGTATACCCCCTTTTCATCAACTAGTATATGGACTTGATCTTAAGTAGATAAGAAAAAGGGAGAATCAATTAATTAGTAGGATGAAAAATGGTTGTGCAGACTTTTTATTAGATGATTGAAAGGGGTAAACATTCACATATACTTTAGTACTTTATTTGAAAGATCGACTTTTTAGTTTTATTTTTTCGCGCCTAATATATTTCGTAATATTAGTTATTGATTGAGATCATGAACCGATTGATGTTAGACCACCATTGAAAACCTGGAAGCAATGGACGTCCGTTTCGCCCTAGTATGGAACTCCTCAGCAGTGGTTCAGCAAGTTAGGCGTTCACGCGCGAAACTGAAGGCCCTTGGTTCGAACCCCGCGAGCGGGATCGTGGATGCGCACTGCTGAGGAGTCCAAAAACAGGACGAAACGGCCGTCCAGTGCTTCCAGGTTTCTAAAGGTGGTCTAACATCAATCGGTTCATGATCTCAATCAAAAACTTAACAATCTCCACAACCACTATACTGAATATTAGTTATGTTGATTCCTGTGGGGTCCAGCTCAAATTTTTATGTTGTCTATTTCTCAAACTAATAGATTTTGTTTTAACTGAATAATTATTAGTATTAACTACATGTACTCAAACGCCTAGATAGAAATCAAGTAACCTGTTCATGAATCTAATTGTCATAAAACTGTATTGAAACACCTTTAGTTGTTTCAGTAACCTCTTCTATGTCTGTAGTTTGTATAAACCCAAAACAACCACAATAGAATCCATGTATAAATGTATTATACTGATGAAGTTAGATATTTCACTTGTTGAATGTTGATTCAGGAGTCTAAAGGTTTAGGTCATGCTGAGAGACATGAAATTCCTAAGTATGATCCCTGATAAAGTCGTTGATGGACATTTCTGATTAGTCCCGTACTAGAACAGAGCAGCTGTCCACTGGTTTTCTAATTTGAATTTGTTGTCTAACTAGGATCAGTTTGTAGTTTAAAGTATGAAACTCTGATTGATTGTCTAAAAACAAAGATGTATGAAGTGAACGAAGAATATATATATATTTTTTCAACAAATTCTCATTAGATTCTACAGTTATTAATCCAAATTAACTTTTAAAAGGAATAAATTAGTTTAAGGAAAATGCACTTCTGTAACAATTATACAATATGAATTCGGAATTGGTATTGTAGTCAACCCGAAACACCAGTGGGAACAATCGAATGTGTTTAACACAAAATTACAGGACTTGTTAGTAAAATCTAACAATCATAAAGTAAATGCTTAATTTGCAAAATGTCCACCAGTTGTCTCAAAATGACTCAGACTTCATTGTTCTCACATTTTCATACAAATTGCATCCTGTTTCCATTCTTTACTGTTCGATCCTCCTGTCTCTCTGCTGCCAGACCTTCTGTTTACGACTAACATCATATACTACTTATGTTAATATAAGTAACACACAGCGCAGTATCATCATCAGACAGGATTTGAGTAATTCCGTTTTGTAAATAATAACGCTAACTGAATTCTTTAAATCAATGTTAGTTAACGTATGTGTATCCTATGCGGATAGCTTTGATATAGCCAATTTTCACAAATTCCTAGAAAATTTGGGAATATTGACAAAATCAAAACAAATTTGTTCACGAATTAATGTTTATTATGTAATGTCAACCTGAATAAGTTTAAATGTCGATTTTAGTTATAGGATTAATAATCAGTATAGGATTCAAACCAGCATGTCATACAGTGCTATGAATCTATACTACTTCCTATTTGAAAATCTGCGCCACCAATTAAATAAATACAATTTTAGTCACTAGTTCCATTTCTATACAAATTAAAAGAACCACAAGACAAGAAGGGGTATTTAATTAGAATTATTCATTTTAATTCCATTATTTATTTAGAATGTGTATTATTTAATTATGAACAATTCAAGATATAACTTCTGGAATTTTTAGTAAGAAGTTGGTGCTTGTTAAGTCACTCATATAGAGACAGAGAGAAAAACTGAAACAGTGACATATGGATAATGTTAGATGATGAGTGTGTTATATTATAAAAAGTAATTTAAGCAGATTAGAGGTCAGTCATACAGCGTAAAGATCAGTGGTAACGGTTCAGACTGTAACGTCGCTAGACTCTGTGAACTCAAATACCACGGGGAATATCAATTCCCACGAGATTGCAGTTACACCTAGCTGACTACTGTCAGGCTTTAATGAAATATAGGTCCCAGAGATCATTAAAAACTACCTCTAAACACCTAACATTGGGAGAAACTGGACCTGCATTTCATAATGGCTCACGAATTTTCTTCAGGTCTCATTCATGATTACATATTGTACATAGGTTTCTATTTTCTCTATGATTCTACATTTATCGCAGTCTATTTTAAATCCAAGTATTAAATAAGTAAAATGGATTCATATGAAATTTCTTGTTTATTAAGTTAGTGGGACTCCAGGCATTAA